TATGGGTTGAGTGTGTGTTTATTTGTGTGTGTGTGAGAAAATAAATAATACCAGGGCTTTAAAATCAAAACAACTTTGCCTTTTCTATGCAAGAAACAACAGATCACTGTAGGAGATATTTCTATGCAATATGTACTTTGCCCTGTAAATGATCGGCCTTAGTTAATCATACTGCAACCAGATTTTTATTATCTTGAGGCACAGGGCAAATTTGTAACGTGAAATGATTGCTTGTTTTTGTTACTAACATGGATAAGAAAGTCTTTCACATTTCATGTATGTCATCTGTCTTCTCTCTATATTATCACTGTATTACCAAATCAGTGTCTCTTCCATCTTCCTTGTTCAAATAGGATTGTAACTATTCCTCAGTGTTCACACACACTTTAGATATTACACCTTGATCCTATGTTATCAAGTCCTATCCTCTTGTTCAAGTCTAGCAATATAAGCAGGAAATACTTTGGTATAATTTTAATTCCCGTTTGTTTTGCTTTACAGATCCTGGCTTTGGCTATGCCATCGTAGAAGGCCCTCAAAATGTAACAGTTGTTGTAGGTTCAGTGGCTCAATTTAGCTGCACAGTATCAGAGGGGTGGAAAATTTTGATATGGCTTTTCAATGGAAATCCTAAGCTGTCCGTGTTGAGTAATGGACAAACTATTGAAACAGATGAGCAATATACTCAGAAAGGTTCTAACACAAGTGATAACAGGTTTACTTCAGAGCTGATGATCCATAATGTGCAGCTGACAGATTCTGGAGAAATCAGATGTAGCCTCCAGAACAATGACTATAGATATGCATTTCTTTCAGTACAAAGTAAGTATGTCTTTGTTAATTGTTCATTAATCATTTTAAATTGGATTAAAAAGATAAAAAAAAAGATAAAAGAAGACATTTTTGACACTTCTAAAACACCGTAGAAATTGACGTTGTAAAATTACTCCCCCTCTACCGTCTTCGAAGACACTTGATGTGACTGAGAGAACCTATATTTTAAGGCAAGTGTCTTAAAATATAGGTACGCTCGTTTTCCGGTACTTTAAATCCTTTTGACTCTGAACAAATTATGGGAGGGCTTGTGTATGGAAGCACAAATCTGTAACATATATTCTCTTTTTAGTATGTACATGTCCTGTACATTATTTGCTGTTCAAAACTGTAGGAGGGCAGAACAAAACATTGATACCCTGCTAGATGAGGCGCTAATTGTTCTGCTACTGGGAATGAAGGAGCATGTGGACAAGAAATATGGATAGAATTTCAGTTATGACTGGTCACCTACCAACTCTTTTAGGTTATGAAGGACCCCTCCCACCCAAAAAAGCTACTCACGACCTGATTTTGAGGTTATGATATCACATAGCTGTGATTTATGACATTTTTTGGAAAAAGCCAGGCTGTACCAAACAATGGATTTGCTTGATAACCACTGTGTTGGCTTTACAACCGCCACATTCATGTTATGACCACCCCAAAAAAGGTCATACAATCAGATTTGTCTCATGATGATTCATTTTACAAACATCATGACTTACAACCATAATTACAAGGTTCAGTTATGATCATAAGTTAATGATTACCTATAGAGGATATACAGTGTGTGGCTAACTCACAAGGGACTCTGAAAAACTATTTTGGATTTCAAGTTGTTTATCCAGACAGATTGAAAATGCATCTCAAATAGGAAAACCTCATTTATGCTTTTATCTTGTCTTAATAAGACTTTTAACTACAGTAAGATATAAAATGGCTTATACAGTGAATATCTTAACTCTGAGCCCATTGGCCAATAGCACTCTGACTTGTTTAGCTGACATAAATGCACTGTCTAACTGTGTATGAACTTTCACCAAGTAAGTGAATATCTTATCAGTGCAGTTCATGTTTGTTGAAATTTTTAATGCACTCTTAATATGTACCCACAAAAGATACAGAATTTGGTTTACTCAGTGCTGTCAGGTTCATGGATTATGAGTCTCATTAGAGATGCATCAATTTGTCTATGTAAACTGTGAAATTAACCCTGGAATTGTCTTCTCCAATCTGTTGCCTCCCAAATTTGTGTGACAATAGTTCTCATCATCTCCAATTACCATAGAAACAACTTTTTTTTCCCCAGGAACTTTTATCTAGCATTTGGAGGAGACCAGTTTGATAAAGATTGATCTTGAAGATGTTCCTATTACCATTTTGGCAATATATAGTAATAAAACGTTTGGATTAATGTGGTAAAATGCCACCATGCAAAAAGGATTTTTTTGGGCTTGTCCATGGCAGCCTCCATCTTCATTTTTTACCACACTGCAAGGGCATTTTAAGAATAAGATATGAAAAAGGTTCTTTCACTATTCTAACTGGAAGTATAATTAACTCATTTTTATCTCAGTCATGGGGATATATTCTCATGAAAAGTAATAGATAGCTATTGTTTTAGATAACATTTGTTATGTTATATTATTCATGGAACATCTGAGGGAAATTGGCCATATTATACAGAAATATGTGGTCACTGTTGCTGCCATTCAGTGATTTGTGACTCTTTATGGTGCAGGATTATCTGTCATTTGCTAGGATTATTCTCTTCATTGTGTTCTTCATGCTTGTCATCAGTGGTAGTATCTCGTGACTTGTCTTCTATCAAGCTCTTTGCCCATTGCCTTCAATTTTTCCAAGCAACATGGTTTCTTCTCAGGACCCTTGCCCTTGCATTACATGTCCAAACTTTAGCTTTATTATTAATGTTTCCATTGAGCAGTCTGGTTTTACTTCTTCAAATATTGAGTCTTTTGTTCTTCTCATTGTCCACAGTATTTTCAGCAATTTTTTCCAAGCCTAAAATTCAAAGGCATAAATTTTTCTTCATTTGGCTTTTTGGATTTTACAGTCATGCTAAACTAGGAAAACCATTATATTGATAATATTATGTATACAAAATATACCTTTGTTGGTGTGATGTAATACCTGCACATTAATATTCTGTTTGAATCTGGCAGTCTTTTTTCCCAAGTAGCAGAAGTCTCTTTAGTTCATGATTGGTTACTATTTGAATGTTACCCCAAACATTCAGACAGTTTGAAAGTTTAAACTGAGAAAAATTGACTCTAGTTCTACTTCAACTTTTTCACTTTTTTGTATTGATTTGCTGTAACCTGCTGATACAATCTTAGTTGCTTTAATACAGAGCAGCAGATGGACTATTGTATTCTTTTATCTTCAACAAGAACATTCCACAAGCATTCCATCACTTCTATCCTTCAAAGTGATAGCATATTAGGAACTGCTGAAATTTATCCCAGTAATTTTAATTCCACTTTTCATTTCTTCTAGTTCAGCATTTCTCATAATATAATCTTCATATAAGTTAAGTAAATGATGGTATACAGCCTCAGCATACTGCTATTCCAATTTTGAACCTGTTGCTTCATATTCCCAGTCCTTACTTCTTAGCAGCCAAATCTTCAACAAGCACACAAGGTGGGCTAATAGACTCATGTTTTTAATTGCTTTTCACACTTTGTTGAGAATTGGGTTTCTTAGAGTAAAAAGCCAATCCAATGGATTGCTTTACAGGTAGTCCTTGACTTACAACCATTTATTTAGTGATCATTTGAAGTTACAACTGCACTGAAAAAAGTGACTTTTCACACATATGACAGTTGCCGCATCCCCATGGTCACATGATCAAAATTCGGGCATTTGACAACTGGCATGTATTTATGACAGTTGCACTGTCCAAGAGTCATGTGATCATTTATCATTTATAATCTTCCCAGCCAGCTTCTGAAAACCAAAATAAATAGGGAAGCCAGATTTGCTTAATGATTGCATGATTCACTTAACAACAGTGGCAAAAAAGGTCATAAAATAAGACACAACTGACTTAAAGTCTGCCTTACTTAGCAATGGAAATTTTGGTCATTCAATCATTGTTGTAAGTCAAGGACACCTGTACAGTTAGTCTTCGACTTTCAACCATTCATTTAATGACTCTTTCAAGTTACAATGGCAGTGAAAAAAGTGACTTATGACCCTTTTTCATACTTATAACCATTGCAGCATCCCCATGGTCACATGATTAAAATTTGGATGCCTGGCAACTGGTTCATATTTATGGAGGTTGCACTGTCCTGGGATCATGTGTTCACCTTTTGTGACCTTCTGTCAAGTAAAATCAATGAGGAAGTCAGATTCACTTAACAACTGTGTTACTTAATTGGGGTGATTCACTTAACAAGTGTGGCAAGAAAGGTTGTCAAATGGGGCAAAAGTCACTTAACAACTGTCTAGCTTAGCAACAGAAATTTTGGGCTCATTTATGGTTGTAAGTGAAGGACTACCTGTATTTACATTTTATCTTTTAACTATGGGGTTAAAATACCAAGTTTCTTCATCGTGGAATAAAAACATTTATCTTTTGGGGTAATATGTATTGCAGGAAACATATTCCCTTTAAATTAAGACTCAAAGCATTTGCCGATAGATGCAATAAAGGATCTTTTATTGGCATAAGATCACTAGTCTTCTGGCCAAAAGAATGCCAAACAGCCCCAAACTTAAGCAAAGTTATAGGTTCTCAGTCCTTGGAAAGGATATGTAGAAATGATAAAGAAAGCAAAGCAAATCCTACAGTGACCTTTACAGCCCAAATGTGTCATCTAATAACAACAGGCAATGACTGACCCAGTTACTTTAAATTCTATATTTCTAAAAAGTTCAAAGCCCATCCTCTTCTACTGATAGTAGCACTGATAAGCAGTGCTTTTTATGGTAGCCATATAAGATCTCTTTTTTCATAGGGGGGGGGAGCAGCAGTCTGGTTTCTGTTATTTGTCTCCTTCCCTTCCAAAGTCATCAAGCTGTGTCAGTTTCTTTTCTCTGTCTAACACAGTCTTCAGAAACCAAAAGGAACAGGTAGAATATTATTTTTCTCCCACATATGGTTGGCAGGTGTTGTGAAAAATCTTCATCAGGTCCAGTCCAAGCCAGGAATAAACAAAATGGAGACTGCTTTGGAAAGAAGGTTGCAGTTTATTGAACCAGACAGAAAGATGGCTCTGGGAAAAACTGACCACATGTAGCAGGGAGTGGTGGGCTTTTATAACTCCTTTGGGCTTTGTATGGAGTTGTTCCTGTGGCATGAACTTTGACCTGAGTCTGATGGTGGTGGGTTAATCCTATTATGTCCCAAAGGTCATATCCTGCTTCCCTGGGGGCTATGGCTGATGAGTGTTGGATTATTATTATTTTTTGGTGAGGGATTGTTGATTCTAGGGATCTTTATCTTTCTAATCCCAGCTTCCTGGCTCCAATCTTTCTGATAAGATTATCACATCTGCATTTCTGCAGACCTGGTTTCTGTTTGGGGCAGAGAGAATTGGGGTTGGGTGGGTTCTGCCTTTAAGATCCTTTGGGGAAATATAATATTCTGCCTTTTAATAGTCCCAAAAATATTTCTTTCTGGGGGGGGGGAATGACTTCCCCCAATCTCTCCTTTGTGCCATAAGAGTGTGAGTGACACACTTTTACTGGCACAAGATTAAAAATTGATCTGGTCAGGAAGACTTGATAAACAAGCTTTTAAACTCTTAATGCAAAAAGGAAGACACTACTGGAGGCAGCAGAAAAAGATTCCTGCAGTGGCTCCCAAAAGGGGAGCTTCCAACCCATAAAGGTTTAAAAGTCAGGGCAAAAGTTCTGTTAGATGGAAAATAAATTTATAGTGTCCAATATTCTGTGCCAATTATTTTCAAATGTTGGATGTCACTTTGAGGTTCCAGTCAGGCCTGCACATACCTCCCAAAATTCTTCACAGCCATGTTTTTCCTCAGTACATAACCACTGGCTGCCCATTTTCAAGGGTTGCTTTCTTAGCCTGCCTTAGCTCTTAGCTCAGTGCATCCAGGTTTTTGATGTCCAATTGAGGTTAGCCAGTGTGCAAGCCAGGCTATTAAATTGCACACAGTGAGCCCTAGGATTCCCACTCTGAGTCCATCAGTGCAACATATTCAGGGCTTGGGTTTTGGTGATCTCTTTCCTGCTACCTTCTCACTGAGAGCATATGAATTGCAAATTGATGAGGAGGCCTGGTTCCCTCCCCCTTGGAATTTGCAGGAAGTTGTGCATGCAAAGCTTTAATGCCACAGGGCAAGAACCAGTATGGAGCTTTAGTGAGGTAGGTGAAGGGGATAGACTCAGTGTGATTCTGAATGGTGTGTGTGCGTGTGTGTGTGTAAAGCTACAAAACAGGCAATACAAGCATCCTGGACAAATTTTCTTCCCACCAGACAGAATTCCTAGGTGTTCAATACTTGCTGTGCCAACCATTCCCAAATGCCAACCCTCCATAAATACATTCAAATGGCTTATTACAATACAAATGAGGTAAGAAAGAAGACAACTGGAAAGAAAGTCTTTCCAGTTGTCTTCTGAGCTTCATGTGAGGGCCAATGGTTCCAGGATTCCTTCCTTTCTCTGCAGCTTTCACAGGCATCTGGGAGGGACGGTAGGACTTGGGAAGATCTGTTCCACTCTGGTTGTATGGTGGCTTTCTAGTGGATGGCTGGATTCAAACCCCATTTCCTGGCTCAAATGGATGGAGGCAGAATCTGGGTCAGTGTGCTCTGCTTCCAAAGGTTGGGGGGTCATCTGTGTAGAGTTGAAAGATATGGGAACAAGGTCTCCTCCCCCCTTTCTGAGTGAACTCTCCCAGGAGTGGCTTTGGTGATCAGACAGAAAATAAGAAATGGAGAAGTAGATGGGGGAGAGCTTGCAGGCAGAGTTTGAAAAGACATTACTGCAGTTGTTAAAGAAACAAATAAGCAGACAAAATGGGGACAACACAGATGAGGACAAAAGAGAGGCTGGATTCTGGTAAGAGAACAAAAAATGAAAGGTCTCACTTCTGAAATTGAACATTTGCAACATGTTAAAGAGTACTTAAGGACTTGCAACTTGAAGATGCAGGTCATCTTGAGAATGCTGAAAATTCCAAATAATTTTAAAAGTCTAATATGTGTGCGATTTGCCAGGGGCAGGAGAGTCTACCTTTTATATCTGTTTTCAAAATATTTAAACATCATGACAGCATTTTGCCCAGCATTACCAATGCACAATTTAGATAAAAATACCACATTAGAGATTGAAAATAACTGCTTATGTATTCCAGGATTAGTTTCATAGTAGTTTCACTGATTAGTGATAGGATAAGAAAAGTAACTTAAAAAGAAGAAGGTTATTTCCTACACAAGCAAACTTGACCTCATGAGACTCTTGTAGCTAGACATACCTCATGTTTCAGAAAAAGGATAGACAGATAAAACCCATTTACAACACATACAAAAATGGAAGAATGAAACTTTTCCTGTAGATGAACTTAAAACATTCTCTCCTGACAACTTTGGGCTGTTCTTACAAGTACAGAGAGAGAGAGAAAAACATATTCACCCTGTTTGCTGGCCAGACAAACAGAGTTAGGGTAATTTCCTTTTGGTGGCTTATTTTAAGCAGAATTTTAAAATTCTTGTCTCTAGGGATTAGAGATGCCCAACAGTTACATTCACCTCATACACAAAGACTTTGACACACATACACAAACAAAGACAAGGAAAAGAGAACAGAAAAGGAAACAGAACTCTTAGTTTTACACATCCTGGTCATTCCCACCATAAATCTCAGTTACCTCAAATTAGGGAAGGCACAAATCTTAAACATATCACATGGTTGCATAGAAAGAGAGAGAGAGAGAAGCTGTTCCTATATATATTTTCCTTTTAAGTACCTTTATTTAGCCAAATTGGTTTTTCCTACTTCATCTCTGAGCAGAGTCCCCTCCTGCATAATTTGCATGCATGCTTGTTACACATTCCCATCTGGGCGGGCAATTTGTCCCGGCCACAGGCATCCGTTAGCCTCCTTAAAGGAGACCTTGTTGGGATCCTAGATCCTGAGCTTCCCATGCTCTTTCTCACCGTCCATAATGAGACTACAAAGATTTCTCCTTGGTCTCTCACAACCTGCAGAATACACCGCCCATGGAATACACTGCCCCCAACAGGTGGAGGTACCTTCCAACCTGTGGTATCCCCTTGGTTTTTCAGGCAAATGGCCTGGGAGGACTCTATCCACCGTGATTTCAGAGTATCTCCTTTCCAGAACAGGGCTCTGCTAGTTGCCCAAATCTGATTCTCTCATTAATTTTTTCATTTCATTTTCAACACAGCCTCTCCCTTTTCCTTAAGAAAAGGTCCTGCACTCTGGCCAAACCCCCATGCTTTCCAGAGTCTCTTACTTGAACAGATCCTTTCTGCAATTAGGAAAGGCCAGAGGGAGCAAAATCCAGCTGTGGTTTGAAAAAGGGTCTACTAACTCACACACAGAGACATACACACATTTCTCTAGCTCCCCTGGGCTTTAAAATTTAGAGGTACTCACCTTCTTTCCAAAGCAGCCCTTGAGCTCAAATTCAAAACTCCCTTTAAAACCCTTGCTCCACATGGGTAGGGCCTGGGAAACCCATCGACAGACACAAGGGGTCTGTTGCCAGCAAGATGGGGCTTACCGGTCAGTCCATTGGAGAGGTTAGCTTGGAGCCCCATTGTTGAGAGAAAAATCTTCATCAGGGTCCAGTCCAAGCTGGGAATAAACAAAGTGGAGACTGCTTTAGAAAGAAGGTTGCAGTTTATTGAAGAGGAGAGCCAGACAGAAAGATGGCTCTGGGAAAAACTGACCACATGTATCAGGGCATGGTGGGCTTTTATACCTCCTTTGGGCTTTGTATGGAGTTGTTCCTGTGGCATGAACTTTGACCTGAGTCTGAGTGTGCCTTTCTGGTATTCTGACGGTGGTGGGTTAATCCTATTATGTCCCAAAGGTCATATCCTGCTTCCCTGGGGCTGTGGCTGATGAGTGTTGGATTTATTTATTTATTTATTTTTGTGAGGGATTGTTGATTCTAGGGATCTTTATCTTTCTAATCCCAGCTTCCTGGCTCCAATTTTTCTGACAAGATTATCACATCTGCATTTCTGCAGACCTGGTTTCTGTTTGGGGCAGAGAGAATTGCGGTTGGGTGGGTTCTGCCTTTAAGATCCTTTGGGGAAATATAATATTCTGCCTTTTAATATTCCCCCAAAAAATTCTTTCTCGGGGGGAGGCTGACTTTCCACACAGGTTTACTAAATATTAATATTTAGTATAATACTAAATGAATATTTATCATTACAGTGGTTTTGTGGAAGTTAATAAATTGTTTTGTATATAAATATTCTACAATTTACCATAGTTTGCATGACACATCCCAAAATCAGAAATGATAACAGTGTGTGTGTGTGTGTGTGTGTGTGTGTTTGCGAGAAAGAGAGAGAGAAAAATCAAGATGACTAATACATCTGATACTTCACTCCTTTTTTTTACACATGCCACATGCATGATACATATAAAAAAAGGACAGAGTTTTGACTGTGGAGCTACAGCTGCCGTACTGACTTTTTTGTTTCACTCTTTGGATCCTACAGCTCAGATTGGAAGAAAACCAAATGCCATTAAGTGTAAGAATGACTATTTAACTGATTACTAAGGAACATCGTTCATTTTTCAATGAGAGGCCAGTTTTGCTCCAAAGACATACAGTATATATAGTGAAGGCTGGAGAATATACAGTCTTTCTAATGATTAAGTTGAAGTGGAGGCATATCAGCTACAATATAGAAAATTCACATGCTGTCAGTATTTATTTATCAAATTGATATGGCTGCTATCAACATGTTTTCTGGGTGATTTGCCAAGCCCAACCAAAACAAATAAATGCTAAAAAAAATCATGTACAGTAATGAAACCCAGAAAACAATATAGATGCAGCGGATTTTTTTAAACAGAGAAAGATGAATTAGCTCTCATGAAAATACATGCTCCCTAAAAAAGGACAGAAGCCCAAGGTATAAAGAAAACTTTTTATTCATGATAAAAAATACCATTGTAAAAAGCATAAAAAGATTTACAAGAAGCTTTTTAGACAACGTGTTTCAGGTTACTCAAATCAAAGTGCATTCATGCGATTCCTCCAGCCCCATTAACCTTTGTTACATTATACAGTTCAGTTTCTTGAGATGTCCAAAACTTGGAATTAGTAATGATTAATTTGTTCACTACAAATCATAACTGGAAACTAGTACAAGAAAAATAAAAGTAATGAAAGAGAAAATAAATTGGTGAATAATCTGGGATTTCCAGAAATCTGCACTAAGAAACATTACTAATTAAAAATTGAAATAAATTAAGAATGACTTCACAGAACTCATTAAAATAATTAGGAACATTTTAAGAATGTTCATGCTAATTAATTGTACTGTTTAACATTGCTTAATTTTTATTTAGTAGGATGTGATAATGAAGATTGGCGAATCCGAACTATAATTTTAGCTGTTGTGTTGTCAGTTGCTCTTTTACTCCTTCTGATCCTTATTATTCTCCTTATTATATGTTGCTGCAAAAGAAGGAAAGGTATGTGGGCCTTCTGGAACTGGCTTTGCATCTTAAACCTTAATTTCAAACAGACAAATCTAAATCTGCTAATTTTGTGCCAAAAACAGATTCCCTGCTTGTTTATATGAAAAAAAAAAATGTTTCTGTGCTTTTATTTTTTCTGCAAGATAAAATCAGGCTAGGGATAACTTGTATGGGGAAAAAAAAGATAATTAGCATTCACAAAACAATACACTTAAATGCTTGTAATTGTTTATACATCAAACCTTCAATAAATTGGAATAAATTACTTCAGATCTGTTATTTCTTTCTTTATTTATTTGATATAAAGCCCATTATTCCAGCAGTTCAAGGCAGTCTGAATAAAATTCTCTCCTTCAGTTTTTCTGTAAAGTAACAACCCTATGAAATATGTTGATTTAAGAGATACCAAGTTTTCATAATTGAAGATAGAAAGAAAACTAAATCTTCTCAGTCTTTGTTCAGATTCTAGTCCAGGCCTCCCCAAAACCAGGCCGTGGGAGAGATGGGCAAGCATATGTGTGAAGCTCCACATGTGTGAACAGAGGGCAGAGAGTGGAGCTTTATGCAGGAGTGCAAGCGCCCTCTGCTTGTGCAAATGGAGGTTCGCACGTGTGCACTTGGCCTCCGCTCACACAAGTGTAGCTTTGCAAACTTGCTTGCCCATCTCTCCCATGGCCCGGTCTCAAACAGACTGCGGCCCAGTGGTTGGGGACCCCTGTTTTAGTTAGTATTCTATACTGGGATAGCAGCAACATCTGAAGAAAAAAAAGAACCTCACTTTTAAGAACTAAGTATCCCACAATGTGGCCATTGTATTCATTTCAAACAGAGGTTCTCCTGCAATGCTGAATTTGAGGTTTTCAGGGATCTGTCCTTTCACACAATTTCATAGAACATTCATAGAACATAGAAGGATTGTAAGGGACCTTGGAGGTTTTCTAGTCCATCCCCCTGCTTGAGCAGGAGACTTTATACCATTGCAGACTGGATGTCCAATCTCTTTTTCATATGGCAATAAAATTATTTATATTTAGAAATACCAACTTAAAGAGAATATTATTTTTTTATTCTATACAGTTCATCTGAGATTGATCAGGTCTGCTCACTCTTGTTTGCAATTAATTGGATACTTTCAAAATGATTCTTTAAAAATAATTTTTAGTAATAAATTCAAGGTAATGTTATAAAGAAGTTGATACAAAGGAGGCAGATATTCCAAGTCAGTCAGGGTCCAGCACACACTAGCCCACAATCTCTTGCAAACTGGGATTCTCCATTGCTGCTGCAACTCTCTCTTTATCATTGATTTGTTTGTTGATATCTTCCTCAATAGAATGAGCCCTCTCTGATATGTAGATTTCCAGCTTGTGCTTGAAATGTTTTGTGTCTCTCTTAATTCTGCTAAAGAATTATGTCTTGCCAGCAATGAGCTTCCAGGTAGTCAAAGCTGAGGGGTGGACTTGAAGTGCAAAAGTCAGTTTGTATTACAATCTAGCATCTATGGCAATGATTAGATTACAGCAATATGGGAGAAAGTATGGAGACTAGGGTACTAATCCACCAAACCCTGCACGCCATGTGTAGGTGAATCAGATTGCAACTCATATTTGCATTTCATTAGAGAGTAGGGTTTTTTGTCAATAATAGACAGAATGTATACTTTGGTGCTAGATGCATGATTTATGAATGAAATGTTCTTGGTTCCTGCACAATGATAGTTCGCTTTAATTTCAGTGAGAGTGTAGGTCCACAACCACCTCCCACAAGTATGTCTGTTCAAATAATTAAGAAATACTTGTGACTGCAAATCATTTCATTAGATGCTGGATCAATCTTTCTTTTAAAGAGATTGGTATTATGGAAACATTAGATTTTTCTTTCCTAGTACTGTAAGTTAACATACTTGTTTGCTATATTCTAAAATTTGTCCATTTACTTTTCCAGAGTCCAACTATCCAGAGTCCAGCTATCAAAATGAGCTAAGGTAAGATGATTATCACTTTGAGTTCCATTATTGATGCTAAAACATATATTTGTGTTTGCTTAAGATCATAATTAACATTAATGCAAACAACCAAAACCCAACATAGAAAAGTGATAATATCAGTAAACAGCAATGAGATGAAATCTGTATGATTTCCCAAGGTTGATGGCCCTCAATCTTTTGAGTTTGTAAGCCTTTTTTTTTTACTACAGGTCAAATGTGCCCCAACAGTTTTTCTCATGCTTTGATCTCATGATGTTGCCTTCACCTAGTTGCCACTAAACTGAGACAGTTCTCCTTAGCTGTTCCAGTTTTAATTTTTGCCTTTTATCCTGAACACAAATTTTGCAATGATACAAACTTGTATGCGTCAGTGGCCATTGAAAATCATATTGACTAGAAGACAGATGCCATAATCCATGTTAGGACAGTATTATTAATCCGATTAAAAGTTACTCAGTAGTGAGCAAGCTTTTGAGTTCTTAAAAGTTCAGCACAGGCAACAAAAGATGGGGAACAAAAGAGAAAAAAGGAGAAATTATAAGAGAACTGTATATGGAGGAAAAAATGGCTAATCTTTCGTCTAGGTACCATGTTTAAATCAGCAACAGATATAAAATCATACATAGTTTTGGATAATTTCAGCCCATGCTATAAACCAATTTTATTGCATATCCCTCTCATCTTCCCTGATCAAACTAAATATAGATTCTTGGTGGCACAATATTTTTTTTCATCCCTAAATCTCCAAAACATATGCTTTATTTTATTATTTTGTGGGGGTCTGATATGAATCTCCGAAACATATGCTTTATTTTATTATTTTGTGGGGGTCTCTATGTGTTTCCAACAAAGCAGATGCTGAGACCACATAAAATGGCTTCAGGGACCTCATGAAACAAATAGCTCTTTTAATAGGACAATTCATAAAATGGCTGCACTTATTGTTCTTATCCCCAACCCAAAATGTAAATACAACTTCTGATCACAGAAGAATAACCGCTCCTTATTTGGCTGATTATAAAGTGTTTGATGATAGCTATGGTTTCTTACATAATCATAATTAAGACAAGGTTTTGCATTCTTCAAAAATGGTGGAAAAGAATATAATTTTCAGACATGCTCTAAAGAGAAATTTCAATGCAGGGCTTCAGAAAATATCTGTTTTGTAGCTAGCCTTTCTTTTTAAAGCCTTCATGTTTAATACTTAATACATATACCACAGGAGGTCACTGTGTACCTAAGTAGCTAACTGCACTGATGCTCCTATTCCACAGGCTTTTAGTATAGAATGTCTGTTACAGAAAGAGATCTGAAACTGAGAAAGGTGGAGGTGGTGCACTGAGTGCAACTGCCAAGCAAATTAGGTTACATCTTGTGCTTTTCTAAGAACTTTGAAAACAATCTCTTGAAAGGCAATGCTTGCTAACAAATTGTTTCCAAATTAGCAAAATGAGTTTTAATCACTTGCAGAGATGAAAGTTAAATGATATGTTAGAATGCTCTGGGGTTTTCAACTTTAAAAATGAAAGAAATGTTCATTGTTATTAATTAAGATACCACAATTAAGAATCCTGGATGTTTAATACATCTTTATGGAAGATTTCCAATGATTTTAGTTTTTAAAGGCATGTGCATTGAAGCCTTTCTTTTTTTCTCAAAGGAAGGAAGAAAGCTTAGCCCAGAATTATGATTAATAATACAGTTTTCTTCTTTTTCATTTTTTTTACTGAAACAAACATTTGAAAATACATTTTTTTTAAAAAGCTAACAAAGAGCAAAAGTAACACCCCCTCCCAAATCAACCTGTGTATTAATGGAGTATTGTAATGAAAGAATTTAAATAACACATAGAGACTCCAGCCACTAAATGCTGGTACTGTTGGGCTAAATCTAGTTTTGCAATGACTTTTCTGCTATAACACAAACCGCCAGCAGTTGATTGACTGTAGGCATTGGATCTGGATGCTGTTTAAGTGCCTTATTCATAGTTCGGGTAAAATATAAATGTTATAATATGCATCACGGTTTTTCAGATGGCAGACTCCAGCATAGTTCTATTTTGCAACATTTGCATTTATTTACAGATATGAGCATTGGACTTTAGGTGGAAGTTCACAGTAACAACTCCAATCAATATGTCAATGTAGATTGATTTCCGCATCAGATTTTTAGAGGGAGGGACACAGTAACCTCCCTAAAGTTATACAATTAAAATTAAGTGGAAGTTCACAATAGTAACTCCAACCAATGTTTCAAGTGAATTCCAGATTTTGAGAGGAAGGAACACAATGGTTTCCTTAAAGTTATACAACTCATATTTGGCTAAGCCTTTCCTTAAACCTCTGCCAACTTCTTACAAATGCACATCCTGACAAAGAAATACATTTCCTATTGTAGCAGATTCATTGGTTGTTTCCTTAGGTTTCAATAAAACTATATTTTCCATAAAGGAAAATGTTTTGCTACTTTTTACTTAACAAAGCTAGATGTGAGTCTGGTATTGACCAATATTTGTTTTGTACAAACCTCAATCGCAAGAACAGAGAATCACTAAATATGAAGTGCTCTTTTCCAAATTAGAGCAATTGCTTAAGTCTAGGGCTTTAGCTGAATATTACAGAAATGGGGGTAGGGGCACCAACCTTGCTGTAGAATCTTTGTCCTACACAGTATCAACCTTGTTTGATAAGCTGCAAGGTTCAAAGCCTGAGGAGAGTATATTCTCTTCATACATATGTCGTAAATGATTTGGTTGCCAATGTCAGGTATTTTTATTTTCTAGAAAGATTTCAGAGAAGAAAGAAAAAGGTAGAAATTTGGAAACTGTGAGTCACAGTGGAAAGGAAAACTATGGCTACAGTGCAGAGCAAATGCCACGTAAGTAACCTTTAAATGAAAAAAGAATATTCTATATAGAACTCCATATACACATTTTAAATTCAGCCCTGTTGTACTTTGGTGGTCAGAAAGTAGCCAAATATTAGCTTTCCTTAAAAAAGCATTGGGC